AGTTAGAAGTCAGGATAGGGGTTACCCTTGGGAGAGGGTGTAGTCACCAGAAGGGAGCATATGGGGCTTCCAGGGCTGGTGATCCTGTTTCTTGAGCTGGTGCCGATTATGTGAAGGATGATCCAGCTGGACACGAGATCTGTGCATTCTTCTGTATGTTTGTTACACTCTGATAAAAAGTTTAAAATAGCTTGATTGACTCCATTGGGAAAAAGTTATATTCTTTCTCTTAAAGTATGTACAGTAATTACTGACCGTCACAAGGAAAATTCACTAGGATGTCTGGACGTTTTTAAGTGGCAATTTAGAGGGCACCTGGTAGCCTTCTGGTCTAACCTCCACCTTACGCCGGGTGGGTACCCCAGGCTGGATCCCCCGGCTACCAACGTGAGTTATTTCTTCCCTATACCCATAACCCTTTCCGAAGTGAATCCTGCTGAATTCTCACCTGATGAACCCTTCCCCTCTGCTCCGTCATTAATCTAATCAGTGTCATCTTCTCACCATTCTCTGTCATTTTGGAAACTGCAACTGCAGATTCCATATAATGCAGAAGTTCTAACTGAGCTTCTGTGTAGGCTGATGGGAAATATGCTAAATACCAGCATGGTCTTTTTATTTTTTTAAATTGGTTTTAGCCGTGTTGGGGTGTGGGGGGGCAGGTGGTGGGAGAGTAACTTGTTTCAAATCCACAGGGCATAATGCGAAGCCCAACGTCTGAGTTTACTCAGACTGCTTCCCCCCAAAATGTAGCTACTCGAGAAATTATGACTTTTGGGTGTTAGATTATGCTTGTGGGATGGGAGGTACAGGGAATTTAAGAAGAAATGAAACTTCTAGATGATCTGTAAACTTCCTTGCTTGTAGGACAGTAGGTCCAGCTTTGAATTATGTAGATTCATTTTGTCTAGAACACCTAAATTCAAAAAAAGGCTAGAAACCTGATTTTTTTTCTCTTTAAACTATAAAATATAAAATCAAAACACAGCTTCAACAGAATAGAAGTAAGGTCTGGATCTTCTTATGTGTATAATAGATTCATCTAACGCATACTGACAACCTTGATAAAATTCATGTCTTTCTTAATACTGGGGAAAAATAACTTTCTTAATACTGGGGAAAAATAACTTATTAAAAATATGTTTGATTGAGGATTTCCTGTGTGCCAGGCACTATGCAAAGTGATGCATATGCATTTTCTCATTTAACCTTTTCAGCTGTTCTGTGAGGTAGGAACTATTAAAATTTTCATGTTACAATGAGGAATCTGAGGTTGGGATGCATTAAGCAACTTGCCCAAAGTGAGATCTCAGTCTGGAGGGTGGGAGTGGAGACAAAGAAAGAACAACAAAAATGAAAACACTTCCATCTCTCAGATGTTTTGGGAAAAAAAGATAGGGTCCTAGGTATGGAAAAGAGGGGTGAATCAGGAGTTGGTGGGCCTATTGTACAGCTTTTCATCCTTCCTCTTTCTCTCCATGTCCTGTCCAGTACAGGGCATGGCCAAAGTCCAGAAGAAAGAAGCCCAGACTCAGTATCCTGAGCTTCCTATCTGAGGTGGAGAAAGTAACTCCCCTTCCACTGTCCATTCTCACCAAAATTCTCCCACAATGCCCACAGTCCTTTATAACCACTTCCCACCACCAGAATCTGACAATACACAAATGCTAAATAAAAGCAGAGATGAAGTTGAAAAAAAAAAAGTGAAAGAGGTAGCCAAGATATGTCAGTCCTTTACCTGCTTGACAAGTTCTGGAGTACAAGGTTGGGCCTTGATGTTCAGACAGTAGACACCATTCAAAACCAGACCTACTGCAGTCAAGTTGATTCCAACTCATAGCAACCCTATAGGACAGAGTAGAATTGCCCTTGTAGGTTTCCAAGGCTGTAAATCTTTAAAGAAGCAGACTGCCACATCTATCTCCTGCAGAGTGGCTGGTGGGTTCGAAACATCAACCTTTTGGTTAGCAACTGAGTGCTTTAACCACTGTGCCACCAGGGCGCCTTGTATACACCATTATTAGCTGTTAAAACATTGAAATACTTCCATACCTTCCACCACCCCCAGACCCTGAGGAACCCCAGGCCTCATGATCAGGCAACTAGACAGTTAATACCTGGTCCTGGCACAACAGTGTCTCCATGAACCTGCTCAAGCTCCACTACCTACCTGCTGCGTGATGTGACTGGTTAATTCCAAGTTAAAGCTTTTGACTATCACCCTTAGCCTGAGTCTTAGCCAGAGACTCATGACTTTGTTAGGTAGCCAATAAATTATGCACAGCACTGCATGCTCTTAGTGATATCTTCCATTCCTCATGGAACTTATGCCTTCCAGACGATACAATAGGACTGTGTCTTCAACACACAGTCTCAATAAAATGCAATATAAATAGCCCGATAACTATAACCTAAACTGGCTAGAGGGAGTCGCTGGGTGGCACATGGTTAAGCGCTGGGCTACTAACTGAAAGGTTGGTGGTTCAAACACAGTCAGAGGCGCCTTGGAAGAAAGGCCTGAAGATCTGTTTCCAAAAGGTCATAGCCTTGAAAACCCTATGGAGCAGTTCTACTCTGACACATAGCATGTCACCATCAGTTGCAATCAACTTGACAGCAACTGGTTTGTTTTTTTCAAACCGGCTAGAGAAAAGATTCTAGCTAGATAAAAGATTCTGCAAGGGCAACTATGAACTGGGAAAAGTATAGGGGATGATGTATGGGGAGGATAAAGGCAACCCTAAGAAAGTCTGAGTCCCTCTTAGGCCACGGAACACCATGGAAACCAAGAGAACTAAAGAACTTCCAGGATAGTTAATCATATTCCACATAACTTGACCTCTGGGTACCGTCCAGGTTCTCTCCTAAAAAAGACTTGAGATTCTACTGGGATCTCCTTCATGCCTACATCCTTCCTGTAGGGCTTCCCCAGAAACTCTTCTGCAATGCTCTGAGGGAGTTATTTTCACCTCCTCCTTCTTCAGGTGACTAGTGGCCTCTCCATTACTCCCATTGCATTCCTGTGTTTATGTCATTCAGAGCTCAAAATCTCTATCTCATTGGTGTTCCTGATAATTTTCTGTCTTCACCTGTACAGTCCATAAGATCAGAGATTTTGTTTACTTTCTTTACCACACCAGGATCTAGTCCAAGGTCTGGCACTAGTAGGTGAGCAGGAAATATTTGTTACATAAATCCACCTAATAAAAGCCATATACCTAGATGCAACAAAATGTTTTTGCATAGGAGACCTTTATCTAAAAAAATTGGATATTGTCTTCCAAACAAGAAACTCTGGAGAATCATTTAAAATAAAGTTGTTAAATCATCACAATAAAGAAATCTAGAACTTATGCGGAAACTCCCTTTTTCATTCTGCGAAGTACTTCTCGATCCTTCTCTCTTTCTTGGTAAATCTATCATCACATTATCTCTCTGTTGTAAGGACACAAGATGGGCAAGGCTGTTTTACCTGTTGCTGAATGCATTTTCTTCTTTTTTTTCCTTGACACAAACAATGCATTTAATCTGTATCTGAAGTTATTGTTTTGATTCTATTCCATTTACCAAAACGTCTGGTCCAATTAGACCAGGGCAGAAAAGAGAAAAATGTAAAGTCCGGTAAAAGAAAGCAAGTTTACATCCCTGCCTACAGCATTTAATAATTGGCATTAGCTTTCAAGGAAGCTGTGGCTCACACTCCAAGTACTGTTTGAGCTTCCAAGTGGACAAAATATAGACACAGATGCACTCAGCTAAGTAATTGAATTCGCTACCTGGAATATTTAAATTGTTTTCAGACACTGGAAAATGGCTTAAGAAGATTAAAGAAAAATACCCTGGAGGATAACAGGCTATAATTTACTAGGTGGAAAATCTTTTCAGCAAGAAGAACGCCTCATTCTCCTATAATTCCTCCTGATTAAGAGGTGTCTTAGTTATTTGGACCTAAATTTTCTTAGATCCTGGCAACTCGGGTTTATTCCAAGTGGTTTATTCTTATCAAACCTTTTGAATGACACCCAGGACATAAAATTGATGCAATCAATTTCTCCATCTCAAGATTTGCATGTTTTCAGCAGGATTCCTAATTTACATCTCTTTGAAGGCAATGGCGGGGGGTGGGGAGGGCGATCACCTGAGGTCCTGAGGTCTAATCTAGAGCTCCCGTGAAGCACTCGAGACCACTGGAGACCCCGACTGGGCTAGGCTCTGCCCTACCCAGCAAAAGGTGCAAGTAAATCCTGGGGGAACGTCTTGACGGATCGATTTCCAAGCAAAAGACTCCAGTTAGCTTAGTTCTCCAAAAAAATTAGCTCTCCTCACTTGCGTGTTGGCCCACTGAGCCCTCCTAGACCCCTCGACCCTCCCCTTTTGCTCTCTAGTCCTCCTCAGGTGTACCCTGCCCAGTCCTTCTGAGGGTCCATCACTCCGCAGCCAGGTGCTGAAGTTTGGCATCAAAGACCACCTGTCGGCTGGACTGCTGTGTCCTCTGCCGCGTGGGCTCCCATCAAAGCGCTAAAAGGATTAGAAATCACTAGTTTCGGACTTCGGGTCCGTTCATTCCTGAAAGGGAGCAAGGCAGGTAATAAGGGGGTGAGTCTGAGGGCGGAGAAGGGCGCGTCTTGTTCACGCTCAAGCGCTTCTCAGCTGGTCCCAACTTCACACTCCCCACTTTCCAAACTCTCTCGATCCGTCATTAGTTAAAGCCGCCCCTCCTACTTCATTCACCCAAAAGAATTAGGACCCTCAAAGGTCCCTTCTCAGACCTATTCAGGATGTCAACTACTAAACCCCAAGGATACCGGAGCGCGCGCAATGCCTCTGCCCTTTGCCACTGGTCTCGGCAGATGCCAACCTCTGCGCCCTGAGGCCGCCCCTGCCAAACCCGGGTAAGTCCATTGCATAACGCGCCCCTCGCCCCACCCCCACGCCGCTCGCCCTGTCGCCCTGCCCCTTGCCGGGGCCAGTGCCCCGAGCCGGGCTGCCCCAATACTTACATCATCCCACTTGACGAATTTGGTGCCCTTCTTGAGGCTGTCGGACACGCACACGGGCTTGAGTTGCAAGGCATGCACTCCGGGCTGAGCCCCGGCCATCTGGGCTCATCGAGGCTCCGGGCGGCCCGGGTGAGCGCGGCAAGGACCGGCGTGGGGCGCGGGGCGCGGGGCGCCGGGCGAGGGCTTCTTTCTCTGCTCCGGAGACACTCGACTAGCTCCCAGCAGGTCTCCCCTGGCCTCCCGGCCTCCGCACCTCCCTCTGGCGCGGCTCAGCAGGCGGGGCGCGCGGGGGAGCAGCGCCGGCCCATGCCCCGGGTGGGACGCGGGGTCGGGTGTTCGCGGTGGATGCGGAGCCTCAGAGGGCAAAGAGAAGCCGAGCTCGGCAGCCGAGACTGCCAGCTGCCGCCGGATCCTGCTCCTCCTCCGCCGCCGCCTCAAAGCGCACCATTCAGCACATCCTCTAAACACGGAG